GAATGATTTCAGTGGCTGTGGATGGGTGCTAAATGACGAGTTCGGAAATGGCAAATTATTGGGATTGCGTAATTTTGATCGAGTGGAGTCGGCGTTGCATTCAGAGTTGGAGGCACTGCGGTGGGCAATGGAGAATATGCTTCAACATTCGCCATGTCAGAGCTTTGGAACTGATTGCAAGGAGATGATCGAGATGCTCAGGAACCCTCATGCCTGGCCTAACTTCTCAACTGAGCTGGAGAGATTGGAGACGCTGAAGATCTGCTTCCCTGATTTCAAGATCTTTTATGTTCCTAGATTACAGAACAGTGTTTCTGATTCTTTAGCTAAGACAGCTAGGACATTTTACCGTAAGCTTGTTTTCATTGGTTGTTCTATTCCGGTTTGGATTCCTAGACCACCTCATGTTGCTTGAATAATAGATCAGCCGTTTGATGTCAAAAAAAAAAAAAAAAACTCAAATATTTTCAAATATTATATTGAATAGACCCGCTTCGTGAATTTGCGAATTTACACTTCACTTTCACATTTCACAGGATCATAAATAGGAAAAGGGAATATTGAAGCATACAATCTATAGGAAATGAATAGCCACTAACCAAGAACGGTTACAAGAATGAATTGACTTTATAACGAGCAAATAAAGAGAATTTATTCGAAAACTTCTCAAATACGCTAATCTCTTGCTCTCCTCTTCCTGTTGATTTTATCTTAATTTTATGTTTAACTAAATATAGAGTTCTATTAATATATTGAGAAGAAAATAATAAAAACTAAAATATTAACAAAAAAATTATCGCTGAATAAAATTTAAATTTAGAATTTTTATTGCTGCATGAAAACACCAATATCTTTAAAATTACCACTAAATTACCCTTGAATTTGAACTTATACACTCTACTTTCACAGATCATAAATAGGAAAAGAGGAATTAGTAACATAACAATAGAGATATTCAATCTATAAAAAATCAAGCGTTACTTACCAAGAACGGTTACAAAAATGAAGGGACTTTTATAACGAGCAACTAAATATAATTTTTTTCATAAAAAAGTAAAGAAAATTAAATGGAATTTATTCGTAAACTTCTCAAACACACTAACCCCTCCCTCTCCTCTCCCTATATAAACAGATTCAACTCACGACTACACTCGATACCTAAAACCGCCATGGAAGAATCACACGTTTCAGACTTGATTTCCAAAAGGCAGCGGCTTGATTCTTCCATTGCCGGAGATATCACAATCCCTAAAGGCGAGGGTTCTTCTAAGCTCATCCAGTTTGCTGACAATGTCGTCTACAGATTGTACTTCAAAGGTTTGGTGAGTGACGATGAGGTGGCAGAGAGTGGAGAAAGAACCGTGACGGCTGGATTCGGGGTTGCTATCTGCGACGAGGCAGATAATTTGCTGTATGAGATGAAGAAATCAACTAGTGACGGCGAGATTAAGCGCAGAGGAGTGGAGATTACGGCATTGATTCATGGCTTAACTGAAGCCTTCAACTTGGGGATCAGACATGTCAGGATTCACTGCGATGATTATCCCATTTTTCAATTCGTAAGTGTTAATATATATACATGTATATATATATTTATTTAAAGTGTATATTCTTTGTTATTCTTACTCTTTGTTTATAGTTTTTTTTTCTTTGTTAATAGTTTACATTAATAGTTTTGTAATTTTCATGTGTTCGGTTTGATGAGATTGAAACTTATTTTTAATGTAGATAAATGGTGGAGACAAGCCTCAGCAGACCAAAATGCGTCAGCTAGTGAACGAAGTTTGTCGCCTAAAAGAAAAAATGGTCTCTTGTGAACCTCTTATGGTTGCAAGGAACGATGTTAAGTTCGCGTTTAAGCTGGCTAGAGAGGCAATAGCTTCTCAAAGCAAGGCATCTCAAGGAGAAACATGTGCCATTTGTCTTGAAGACACCAACGTGGAGAGGATGTTCTCGACTGACATATGCCCTCACCGTCATTGTTTTTCTTGTGTGAAACAGTTTGTGGAAGTGAAGCTGCTTAGCGGAATAGTGCCTACATGCCTTGGTGAAGGATGCAAGTTAGAGCTCACTTTTGAAAGCTGTTGCAAGATCTTGACACCTAGGGTGATTGAGATGTGGAAACAAAAGATGAAAGAGGATTCGATTCCCCCTGCAGAGAGAATCTATTGCCCGTATCCAAACTGTGCAATGCTGATGTCCAAATCTGATCTTTCTAGCAATGCTGACACTGCGGACCAGTCCAATGTTCGAGAATGTGTCAAATGCCGTGGGCAATTTTGTATTGATTGCAAAGTACCATCTCATACCGATATGTCATGTGCTGATTACAAGAAACTTCACCCTGACCCTTTACTTGATGACATGAAGCTTAAGTCTCTGGCAAACGACAATAAGTGGCGTCAATGTGTCAAATGTAGGCACATGATTGAACTTTCTCATGGTTGCAACCACATGACTTGCAGGTATATAACTTAAGGTTATTAAAGTTTTTTACTACATATTTAACTTTGATATTAAAATTATATAAGGTAATGGCATTGTGCGTTGTGTAGATGTGGATATGAGTTTTGCTACAAATGTGGGGTAGAGTGGGTAAAGAACCGAAGTTCTTGCCCTTCGGGTTGCCTACTTACCGGCCATGGTGATTATGATGATGAAGATGATGATAATGACTCAGACCACACTTGTGAAGAGGATATGTGTGAATGCTATTATGATGATGATGGTAATCGTTGGCGTGACTGGGAAGACTTTGTGGATCATCAACCACATGTGTACGTTTCTGCTCTTTGTTTACGTCGTTTGATTCATAAATCAACTAAATATTTTCTTTGCAGCTATGACATGTCGCCACTTCCTCCGGATGTGGTGCAGGAGTATCAGTTTTCTCCTGAGCACTTTTGCACTGATGCCACTGAAGAAGATGGATATGATGATCCGAGCAATTATGGAGGCTTACCTGACTTTTATGATCACGGAGCGTTTGAGGCCTTCTACAGGGACTATTATTCTCTTTAATCTATGCTTTGATCAAAAGAGAGATTTGAATTGTTTTGGAATACTTTTCCATCTTTTTTCTTTGGCATTTTCTTTGTTTCTGTTTTCCTTATGTCTGAGTTACCATTAAATTTGAACTCGATAATTTTACGACAGTATTAAGTAATATTCTGCAGGACGACAAACCTTTGGGCTTCTGAGTTTTTTTTATTTATATAGAAAATAGATTTACATCCTACTTATATATTAAAGTAATAGTCAGTAAAAGTACTCTTGTTAAGTGTTTACTCATACAAATAATTGTACTCATACAAATAATTCTTATACTGTAATCTGATTGATTCAAGTTTTTTACTTTTTCTTTCATTTAAATGGAGTTATAGTATTGATTCTTTTATTTGAATCAGTACTATTAAAACAAAAACAATTTTTATCTAATTACAAGTAGTTTAGATTGTACCATTACATTTATTTAAGTTTATGTTATATTACATACAACAAATTTAGTTATTATCAAATAAACACATAATATTAATATACTATTTAAAATATATTCGAAATAAGATATCAAAAAGATACTCTTAACTATTCTTTCAGATTACATTTTAACAATATTTTTAATATACTTTTATTTAAAAAAATAAATATTTAATGTTTTAATATTATTTTTAATAATAAAAAACTAAAAAATAGTATTAAATTCAATTACAAATGAATATTAACTCATTTTGATTTATTGAATAAGAAATAACCTTCCATAATATTATATATAAATATTTCATATTTGTAATTAAAATTACATGAAATAATAACTATAAAATAACTTAATCCATTTCTATAAATTATAAACTAAATGAATTACATTTACAGAATAACATATATTTATATTGTTTACAACCTACTTAAACTTATTAAAACAAAATACTACCACAAAATATTTAAAATAAGAAATAACTTTATATTTTAATATACATATCTAAATTTAAAAATTGTGATATAATGTAATATAAAATACAATACTAAATTTAGTTGACATTAATATTATTTGGTTATATGGTATATGGAACTATATAGTATAATTACAATTATAGTTTCTTGCAGATTATTTCATAAGAATGTAAAAAATAAAAAAATATATTCATATCATACCTTTAATTTTTTTTTAAATATGGTTAAAATTAATTTGAGGTGGGTTATATAAATGAATTATCTTATTTTCATAAAATTATCTTTATACAAATTTTAATTTAATTAATATACTTTACAAACAAAAGTTTCTTTATAAAAGTACATATATATATAGTTCTTCTTTTTGCCAAGGTAGAGTGTCCTCTAGATTTAACTTTTTGTAAAATCTGAACATCATTAATTTGATATTAGCATGCTTAGGAACAGAAAACAGTACACACATATATATATATATATATATATATATATATATATATATATTTATATAAAATTTATATTTTGGGTAAATAAATTTTTGAATAAAGATTTCTAAACCATCTAAATTATGTTTTAAGTTGGATTTGAGCATTCAAGTATCCATTAAGATACGGGTTGGGTATTTTAAATTTTGGTTCTAGTTTATATCACATCCTAGATCTCATTGTGCTATATTTGTAAATATGGATTGGGGTTTAGATATAGCACATTGGTTTTTGTTCTAATTTGTATCATATCTTCAAACCATAAATTAATCATATATCATTAAAATGCGGCTTATTCTGGTTCCGTCCGAATATATCCAGAGTTTAATCCAAAATTTTAAAGACAAAACATAAGAAATAAATACTTGTTTATATAAAAGCAGAAATTTAAGGTATTTTTTTTTTAAAAATATTTATTTTTAGATAGCACTAGAAAATAAATATAGATTTGAATTATATATTTATGTTTCAAAAGTATTTATATTTGTGATTAACTTGAACATTCAGATCGGTTTTTCAAATCTTTACGGGTTTTTTCGGGTTATTTGTTTGGATTAGCTAATAACACTACGGTTTGATATGTTATGTATCTCTACCACCTACAAGATCTCTTATGCTATTTTTAACATTTAAGACCGGGTATGGATAGGATTTTTGTAGTTTGGATTCGGCTTGGACTTCGGGTTATGGATTTTATGCTCAAGCATATTTTAAATAATGAGAAAAGACTATTATATAATATTTCCACCAAAAATTTATCTCGCGCTTTGAAAGCACCGGTCAAAATTTAGTTTAATAATTATAACAACTACATTTTTGAATAAAATCCATTTCAAAAATAATATAAAGGCATTAATTTAAATAGTATTTTGAACATTGAAGTGAAGCCAATTAGCCAAACCAGACCAACTATGAGTCTCTTAGTTAACCGAATCCAAGTTGAGCAGATACTTGGATTTGACTTATACCATCAAAACCGGTTAACAAGTTGTGCTAACACCGATCAACCATCCAAACCGGTTAATAATACTAAATCTCATCAAAAATAAAATATAAAGATAATTATTGTGAATATAAAGAAAACAATATAATTATAGATTTTTACTTAATTATATACAATATGTATACATCTAGATTATTAATTTATAATTTTAATGGGACCATATATTTATATAGAAATTTCTAAAAAAATTTGATTTATCGATTTGTATCAAATTTTTACTGGTCTAAAGTTGGAACTGGCAAAATTTATTACTTTATAGAGATTATTAATTTATCTAGCATTAATTTATAGAGGTTCTCCTGTAATACTATAAATGCATGTTAAACCGAAGTAACTTCATTGATCATTTTGCTACTGAAAAGAATAATTAAGGACATCACTTATTTTAATGCCCATAATAACCAATATAATATTGCAATGCATGTGAAATTTTAGCATGTGCTATTGTATGTTTTTATTGTGCGAACTGGAAAAAATATTTACCCGAAAAATGAAGGAGATATTGGATTCATATTGATTGATGAATTTAATCTGGCACTATTGGCAAACCAGTTATGGAAATCAATTTAATTCCCTAACTCTTCTTGTGAGAGTGATACAAGGAAGATATAATCGCTGAAGCTCGCCTTTGCGAGCGATAAATACATAATCTCCATCTTATGTATGGATGAGTTTGTTGGCTGCTAATCCCCTATTAAGGCTAGGGATCAACCTGAAAGTGCACCCAGGCTACCAATATGTGTTTTGGAAGATCTTTGAATTCATACAATCCCTACTCGACCAGCTCAATCAATTTCTCTGGTGATCGATCCACATATGAGCGAATTTATTCATGGTTCTCCAGAAGAGTGGCACGGTGAGATGATGGAAAACTTCGTTGTTCAGGATAAGTGAATCTAATAGAAACAATATGTATAGATGAAGTTATACATATAATGGAATGTACACAATTAAATCTGGTTATTAGATAGCAAGGAATATTATTTATCAAGGACAAGAAGTTATAACCACTACAAGAAAATTGAGTAAAGATAGCATACAAAGATAATGTTTTGTATGCGAATGTTATCTTTGACATAACCCTTACTTTAAAATAATGTTTTATAACATACACGCTATGTTTAATTTTTCAGACCAAAGCTTTTTTGAAAGAGGTGTATTTTATATAGCTTTTGTAATGTTGAAACACTATTTATAGTTTAGGTGGACAATTATTACATTCTCCAGGTTAATGGACTAAGAAAATTTTGACATTTTCCTCCTCTCTCCCCCCACTCTCGAGTTTCCCTCTCACAGTCTTTGTTTCACTTATCTCTTTGTGTCGGGAAAATCTATTTCACTTGGACATTTTCTCTAATCTTGTGTCGATCCCATAAACTAGTAGCTTTCGTCCTCGTTTCTCCGTGATTGAAATCTCAATTCAGTGGATTTCATCGCATTCTAGCTACTCTCTACAGATTTTTTATTGAATGTTTAGAGTCCATTTTGTTTCATTGGGTCCAAACACCAGCAAGGTATAGGTTGAGGTATGTAAGATTGATGACACATGCGTATGGAGACCAAACTTAGATCTCCAGGTTGTTGCTGATGCATTAGACTCGACAATCGCTTGGCCTAATGATAATATTGTTTATATGTGGACCACTGTCTTATATTGGATTGTGTTGGGTAATATAACTTGTGTGGCTGATAGAATTTGTTTGTGGTTTGGCTGTGTAAGATTGATGGTTTGGCTATTAGAACTTGTGTTCTCGAGAATTGATGGTTTGGCTAATGGTGTTTCTCTATTGATCAAAGTATGACAGAGCTAATAAGTACAAATACTACATCAATTTCGACAAAAACCCTAGCTAAAATTTCAGAAACGATAACAAAAAAAAATTGCTATATTAAAACTAACAATACCATTTAATAATGTTGTGTGTTTAATAAATAATAGCAATTATTAACCGTTATTATAAATTATACAATTGCTTAACAAACACTATCAAAATTTTAATTAAACATAGCACCGGAAAAAACACTATATAAAGTGTCAGAGAAAAGATAATGGGGGGGGGGGCAGACACAGAATTCTCAGCAACGCTATGCTATCCTGTAATAGCGTTTACGTACGCTATATATCTAACATTTTCTTGTAGTGGATTTAAGAGCCGAGTATCACTAGGTTAAAATATTTTCTTGAAAAATCAATGCTCCACCAAAAATTTGTCCTTTTATATGGAAGCTAGTGTCTAGTTAGGTAGCGGTTACTTGGAATTTAACACAACACCATATTCGCTGCGCCAACCAATGTCCTAGATATTGAGAACTCAATAAATCAGTCAGCCATATTATTTTTGAATGTCCATCTACCTTGCAAACTTGAGTTCTTGCCTCGACATCATCGTGTCTGGGTATTTACATTAAGCGTGTATACTAACTTGGATTATTTGTTTTGGAGGAAAAGTAGCAGTGAAGATCCGGAGCTAGATAAAGATCCTTATCGATGGATAATTTGGTATGGTTGGTTTTTCAGATGCATGATGTTTATGAAATCTTCATAAAGCTCGACCGCTAACCGGATATGTCTTTACATTTAGTGGAAC